CCACGTTTCGCAAGCGTAGAGAAGGGAGGGAATGACCGTGGCCGAGAAGACCTGAAGCTTAGTGCGGAGCGACAGACCAGGTAGCTTCCACACAGCGTTACGCAACCGATGAAAAGATATTGCCGCTCGACTGATTCGGAGTGAGACCTCTGCTGTTAAACTGGAGCCAGTCATAAGCACACTGCCCAGGTATGGGAAACTCTCCACTCTCTCCACAACTGCCCCATCACCGATTGGGAGTTGTGGGGGTGGAGTGTGCGATGGTACAAAATACCCAGGCAGGTGCTTAGTTTTGGTGGGGCTGATGGTAAGGCCCCACCTCTTAGTGGCACGCTCCAGTCTCAGCAGCAGCGTCTCCAACTCCTCCTCTGAATGAGCAGCTATTACCAAATCATCAGCATACATAACGTGGTTGAGCAATAGGGAGCCATCCCTTGACCGCACCCGGGCATCGATCAGCCTCCCATTATATCTGTACCATATGGAGATTCCCCCGGTACAGCTATTGAAGGCTTCACGAACTACGTGGTCAAAATAGATGTTAAATAATGTAGGAGCCAGAGGACATCCCTGTCGCACCCCAAGGTGTACAGGGAATGGCTCTGACTCCCGGCCACGTAGTTTTACCCGGGCCCGCTCACCATCATGAAGGTCCTTAATGATCGTGAGGAGAGGGTCAGGTACTCCAAAAGCACGAAGAACAACCCAGAGCCCAGGCCTACTGATGGTATCATAGGCCTTGACCAGGTCAATAAAGCAGACATGTAGGTCTTGTTGGAATTCCCTACACCTCTGCTGTAGCAGACTGACAGAAAATATGGCATCTGTGCAGGACCGCCCTTTCCTGAAACTGCATTGGGGCTCCGCAAGCCTCTCCTCAGCGTGCCTGGCAAGGCGATGTTGAATAATCCTTGCCAGGACCTTTCCCGGCACACTGAGGAGTGAGATGCCCCTGTAGTTGTTACAGTCTGTGCGGTCCCCCTTCTTAAAGAGGGGGACCACCAGGGCATCCTTCCAATCCTGCGGAACCCGTCCAGTGGTCCAGACTGTTGTTATGATGTCATATAGGGCAGTCTGTGCACAAACGCCGCCCTCCCTCAGCATTTCGCTTGGGAGATCATCTCTGCCAGCTGCCTTTCCTGGTCTCAGACTCCGGATCGCCCTCAGTACTTCCTCAACAGATGGTACCTCAGCCAGCCACTCACAGGGGGTGACTTCTTCCAATATTTGAGGCACCGCAGCCTCAGCAGGGTCATCCTCACTTTGTGCCACGATGTTTTCCTGGCTGAGGGATTTTCCCTCCCCCAGGACCTCACAGAAATGCTCAGCAAATCTGCAAACCTGTTCCTGGGGGTCGGAGATTGGATCACCGTGTTTTCCCCTAATGATGGTAATAGGTGTGGCGCTGCAGGTTACTTTTTTGATGGAGTTAAATAGAGATTTGTGATCACGGGCCACTGTGGCAGACTCCATCTCCTCAGCAACCCGCGACCACCACCCATCCTTGCAGCGCCTCACGGCTCTCCGAACCTCCGAGCGAAGGCTGCGGTAAGCCTCCTCATTCTCTGACGTGGGATTCTGTAGCCGATGACAGTGGGCCTGTCGCTTTTTCTCAACCATCCTGAACACCTCCTCTGTCAGCCAGGGTCTCTGGGGAGGTCTGGACCGCGTACCCAAAGTAGCCATTGCAGCTGCATGAGTCATAGTCCTAAACCTCGCCCATTTACCCTCGACATCAGGAGGAGTCGGGGACGATGCCAATCCCAGCCGCAAGCGATGATGAAATTCTCGCTTGCAACTTTCATCAGAAAACTGAGACCAGGCCACTTTAGGTTGGAATGGGGTCCTGGGTGTACACCCACCACCGGAGTGGAAGAATGGCAGGCGCATCTTACAGATGACTAGTCGATGGTCAGAGGGCAGATCAGCTCCGCAGTAGGTCCTAGTGTTAAGGACATGGGCTCGCATCCGCTGGTCCGTCACTACGTGGTCCAGCAAATGTTCTCGCTTGGACCCGGCATGCATCCATGATGTTGTGTGGATGCGCCGATGCCGGAACAGCGTGTTGGTAATTACAAGCCCATGGGCTGCACAAACATCTAGCAGCCTCCTACCGTTGTTATTGAGCTGATCTGGCCCATGCCCTCCAATCACTCCAGACCAGGTGCCAGCATCATGACCAACTCGGGCATTGAAGTCACCCAACATGATGACTCTATCCCGAGGCGCCACTATAGCCAGCACCTGTGACAGGAGGTCATAGAAGGCATCTGGCTCATCGGCTTTGCCTGCATCCCTCCACGGATGTTCATCTTCGGTGGGGGCATAAGTAACCACGACCACCATTCCTCGCCTCCGGTTGATGGGAAGGCGAGCCCAAAGTAGCCTGGGGCTTACAGCTTCCCACACCTCACCGCCACGCTCCCACGCCCCCTTCATTCTTTTGTTCTAAAGAAGAGCCACACCCTGTTGTTTGACAGTCTGCTGCCCCGAGTAGAGGACTGTCCACCCCTCATGGTGGCAGGAGCCAGAGCCGGTCCACCGGACCTACACAAACACACACAGTCACACACTCACACACACTCACACACACTCACACACACTCACACACACATACAGTCACACACTCACACTCACGCACACGCAATCTTACACACTCACACACAGTCACACACTCACACACACACTCACACACTCACTCACGCACACGCAATCTTACACACACGGTCACATGCAGCGGTACCTGCGAGGTACACTAACACGGAGTGCGCCTTTGAGTCGCTATTATGCCCACGGCGTTTGCATGCCCTGCAAAAGGGGTTGGTTGTGTGTGTCAAAGCAGAAATGTGTACACGCCAAGAGATCTGTACATTTCTTTTTTTTTCCCAAATGAGGGTGGAAACCCCAAAGCGAACGTGGTTTTGTTTTCGTGGCAGTGATCGGTGAGCAGGCCGAGACCGGCGAATTTCCACAATGATTAGGACGCGCCCGGTCGCCTTTGCGTCCCCAGCACTGCCGTCGTGAATGTATGCACGTTGAACTTCTTTCGCACCGTAAGGAGCCAACTGCGCTCATTAGCTATGTTTAGGTTTATTGAAAATTTTGTTAAGGCTGAGTCGACCTAAGGGAGGTGTAGCGCAAGTTCAGACAGACCCAACTTGCCACACTGATGTTGCACATGGCCTGGAATCGAACTCGGGTCGCCAGAGTCAAATGTAGTATGCTAACCATGGCACTACCGCTCCCTACAAAGACAAAGACCCCCCCCCCCCCCCCGTATAGCCTCAACAGATTTCTGAGACAAGTGGCTGCTAGCGAGTACCTATGCAGGCCAGCACGCCATATGAGGGTGTGGGTGGCACGCACCATGCCCGGACGCCTTTGTCTCCCAATTAGCGATGTTTACACACCACACCAGGTGCTCATTTGAGGCTGAGTCGACCTAGAGGAAACCCAGGGACGGTTCAAATAATTATCGTCGATGGGGTTGGCCGTGAGCGGGAATCGAACTCGGTTGGCCGGATTTGTAGCGCAGCTCGCTAACCACCGCGCCACCGCTCCCCACTCACACGGACAACGCCCCCCCTGCTCCCCACCTCCCCCGAGGGGTCTCGAGATGAAATTGACGCGAGGAGACGGTGTCTGGGTGGCATCGCGAACCTTTGGCGCAAAACAAACACCACGCGGATTACCGCTCGCTCCATTGCTTTGATGATCATCGCGGTTTCATAATACTGACGAACAGCATGAGTTAAGCGGTATCATGTGGTGGTGGTGGTGGCGGCGGTGGTGGTGGTGATGATGATTTAAGCCGATTGAATAATGACGATGAAGATTTAAGCTGCGTGATTGGATGATGATTTTAATTGTTGGTGAAGCTGCTTTGTTGTAAATTATGTGTTGATGGCAATGATTTTTGATAATGATGATTCAGGCCCACCCTGTCAATTTTACTGATGGTGGTGGTGATGGTGATGATGGTGGTAGTGGTAGTGATGATGGTAGTGGTGATGATGGTGGTGATGGTGGTGGTATTGATGGTGGTGATCATGATGGTTGTGGTGATGACAATGATGGTGGTAGTGGTGATGATGGTGGTGATTGTGATGGTAGTGATGGTGGTGATCATGATGGGTGTGGTGATGACGATGGTAGTGGTAGTGATGGTGGTGATCATGATGGTGGTGGTGATGACGATGGTAGTGGTGATGATGGTGGTGGTGTTGGTGATTGTGATGATGGTGATGACGTGCGTGGCTGTTCTTCTGGCGCAGTTATTCGCCGCGTGCGAGGAGCCAGTGACGCGAACCCCGGGGAGGGAGACAGAGGGGGGGGGGGCAGGGGGGGGGGCATGGGGGATGCGACAGCACGTGACACTGGTGGGAGATCAGCATCGCCCCCCTCCCTCACCTGGCTCCCCTCTCCTGCCCCCCCCCCACCTCCTCCCCGTAGCCCCTACATCACCGCCGTCACCACCACCACCATCACCCACGCGACTACCATCACCATCGTGACCACCATCACCACCATCACCACCCCCGTATCGCCTTCATAACAGATTGTTGGGGTAAGTGGCTATGAAGGCCGGCACGCTACGTTGCGGCGGTGGGTAAAAAGCACCACGCCCGACCGCCTTTGTCTCCCCAGCGATCGTGTTTATGTACACAATAAAGCCGCTACTCATTTCAGGCTGAGTCGACCCGGCAGCGCTGGGGGGGGGGGGGGGGGTGGCCGGGAGGGGGGGGGAGGTGTCAGAATCGCTTCGGACATCACTCGCCGCTGATTTTGGCCGGCCCAGTTCGTATCGCAGCGCGCTGACCACTGCGCCACCGCTCGCTACCGATCAGCGCCGACATCTCCCCCGCGCAGCCGTGCCTCCTCCTCCTCCTCCTCGAGAGACAGACTTGATGGGGGGAGGACAGAGGCGGGCAGAGAGAGAGAGGGGGAGGGAGACGGGAGACGGGAGACCGTGCGTAGGAGGAGGGAGGAGAGGGGAGGAGGCGAGGCGGAGGGAGGTAGAAGGGAGATTTTGCGCTCCCTACTCATTTCCAGACACCGAGTCTGACTCGCCCGCACGCTCGCAGGAGGAGCGAGGAACCAAGGGGGAGAGAGAGAGAGAGCGAGCGAGAGAGCGAGCGAGAGAGACGATGAGACGCAGACATGCGCAACGGGGAGACGAGGGCGAGAAAGTGAGAGCGGCAAGTGAAGAGTGAAAGGGATCTTCAATCGCATTTCGGGGAGGCTTTGCCGTGAGCGCCTTCTGTTGCTGGTGTCGCGGGGAGGAGCGCGATCTACCCCGGATCGGCGCGTCAAGCAACGCCACGAGGAAGACGTCCTCTCTAGAGAGAGAGAGAGAGCGCGTATAGGGAGAGGGGGCGAGATAGAGAAAAAGAGAGAGAGTCTAAGGGGCAAGACAGCCACTGCCGCCCATAAGAAAATTTATTTTCTGCGATGGGGTTAAAGCCGGGACGCTCACCACCGGCTCGCGTGCCCGACGCCAGCTAAAGAAGGCTCAACACTTGGTGGTGGTGGTGGTGACGAGGCTGGTAGAGGTGGTGATAGCTGAGTGTGTGTGTGTGGGGGGGGGGGAGGGCGGTTATCTCACTCCTCCTCATCCTCCTCTTCTCACCCCCCTCCTCCTCCTCGCGTCTCGCCACTCCGCGCGGCTGAGCGGCGGCGCTCGCGACACGAGGAGAGGCGCGCGCAGTGGAAGCGGTGAAAGTTTTGACCAGGAACACGCGGGGGGGGGGGGGGCGGGGGCGAGAGATGAAGGCGATTGGAGCGAGTGCGTGAAGCGGAGGGTGGCGGAGTTGGGCGGTGAGGACGCGCGCCAGTTGAGAGACGAGTGAGAAGATCTGAGAGGATCTCGGTTGAGGAGGAGCCGGAGAGAATGCGGAGGCAGAACGAGAGTGAGGTGCTCGAGAAGCGCGCGAGTTGAGGAGCGCGCAGAGGCTGCCGGCAGCAGGCGGTGTGTGCGTGTATGTGCGTGCGTGTAAGTTGAACTTCTTTCGCACCGTGCGTAGCCAACCGCGCTAATCGGAGGTGCGTCAGACTCCAGGCGCGGTGGTGAGTCGCTAGTCCGGCGCCGAGGAGCGCGACCACCAGCGGAGGGCGAGGAGGAGGAGGAGGAGAGGAGAGCGACGGGCGAGGAACGAATCGGGGAGCGATTGTGAAAAGCAGAGGGCCCGGGAAGGCGGCTGGCGATCGTGCGGCATCAGAATCCCGCACAGGAAGGGGGTGAGCGGAGTGGTTTAGAGCTCCGACGCGGGTAGAGCGGCGAGGGAGAGCCAAGTGCGGGTTTACGCGCGAGCAATGGAGGGGGAGCCCGGGTCGGGGTGGGAACCCATGCGTTCCGACGCCGTGTGGTCCGAGGTGCTCGGCTCGAGTGATTTCTCCTCCTCATCCGCGTCTTCATCCTCCTCGTCCTCCTCATCACCGCCAGCCTCCGTCCTGCACGAGGGCGATGCTCCTCTTCATATTTCTCCCAGCAACCTGAGTTACCTGCCCTTCTACCAGCACTCCCCTCCCGTGGCGGCCACGTTCATCATGGCCTACCTCTTCATCTTCCTGCTCTGCATGATCGGCAACGGACTCGTGTGCTTCATCGTGCTGCAGAGCCGACGCATGCGGACCGTGACCAACACCTTCATCCTCAACCTGGCCATCAGCGACCTCCTCGTCGGCCTCTTCTGTATGCCCACCACGCTGGTGGACAATCTCATCACCGGTGGGTAACCTTTTTTGTCCGGATCGATTGTTGCACGTGTATGTGTGTATGTTGAACTTCTTTCGCACCGTACGTAGCCAATCGTGCTGACTCGGAGATGCCGGGGAGGGTGATGGGAGGGGGACAAACTAAACACAAAAAGCATTTTTTTATATATATAAATGAGTTGTCAATCTTGATTTAAAATTTGCATAGCTCCAGTGTGGGTGAAAGCGATGTTATGGAGCAGTCAAAACGCTGTATAAGCAGTCTCCACACTTTGTTGAGCTAGCAGTTGTGGCCAGGTCGCTTCTGAATAATAAATTAATGCCTCAGTGGGATTTACGTGGTAAGATAAAAAATATATAGTTTAGTTTTATTTTTATGTTTTGTTAAAGTCACGTGCTTACCTTTCCCATACTTTGCACTCCTACCGTGTGTGTTGTACTGTTTGTTGTTGTAACGTTCTTACCCGCCCCTACTGGACATCTGTGAAAAGAGCTTTATAGCTCATCGGATTTCTCCGGTATAAAAACATATTCTGATTCTGCTATACTTGTTTTTAGTCCATCAACCCATTGGCGTTCAACGTCAAGAAAACGCTGGACCAGGTGTCGACTGAGAAGAGAAAAAACGGTCCATTGTTATTCCGTCCGTTTGTCTGTTTACCCAGGAAAGCCAAAGCATCGACGATTCTCAAGACTCATTTGCAGGAGGGTCTTTGCCCATGTCTCCGTAGTAGTGTGGGGGGGGGGGGTGGCACGATGTTGTTGCTGTGTACGATACCAATTCGGTAAAAGTGCGGTGTAATGTTTCCAAGCATGTGTGTGGGTTTTTTATATTTTTTGTAGCTATGGGGAGAAATCCGAGAACTCGGAGGAAACCCGCGCGGAACACAGGGAGAACTTACACACTGCAGAGTTTGCTTATGGGCAAATTCTGCTGGATAATAACAGCAATGCACCGATGAACTGACTATATTAATTTATTTGTGATATTTACTGATGTGTGCTTTGACCAATAACGCTCCACAGCAACGCATCATGAGTTTGCAAAGTTCGTGCGTTGGGGTGACGTGTGGGTAGCCCCACCTCTTCCAAGACATCTATGCGAGGATGGAAGAGTAGGCCAAAAATACCCTCTAGGGGAGGGGGGGGGAGACTCTCTGGAGATCGATCTGTCGAGTCGAGGCCCATCCTCCAGCAGGCGCGCGAGCAAAGCTATTGCGGTGTTTGCGCCTTTACATCTTCGCGAAAGACGGCGGCGGCGCTGTCCCTTTCAGCACCACGCTCGGCCGCGTCGGTCTCCCCGTCACGCGTGAACGAACTCGCTCGCGCAGCCCCACGTGCACTCACGCGCTTCCACACACACACACGGCACCACGCTGGTCCTGGGATTCCCCCCCCCCCTCCCACCGCCTTTCACCAGTGTGGTGAAGTATGGTTAAATAGCTAAACATCCCCCCCCCCACCAACTCATCTCTACCGTGACCGACACATGGTGGGGTGGTCTCTCATCCCAACAGTGGATTAACGCGCAGCTTCAAAGCGTCACTATACTGGGTACTCGTTTGAGGTCGAGTCGACCCAGAGGAGGCACGGGACAGGTTCAGATGTTAATGCTCGACTCACGTTAGCCGCGGCCGGGTATCAAACGCGGGCCGCCTGGGTTCGTGGCGGAGCGCGCTAACCGCTGCGCCACCGCTCCGCGAGAAAGCCCACGATAAAAAAAAAAGCAGCGGTGACGTCATCGCGGCGCTTTGCGTGCCAGGCTAGGTGCACGTGCGCGAGCCACGTGAAACTCGATGACAAGGGGGCGATAAGACAGAGATGCAGGTTGCTGCGGGTTGACTGCTGTGCCAGGCTAGGTGCAGGAAGTTCCGGGGCAGACCCAAGGTTGTTAAGGCTTGGCTGACCCAGATGACTGGCACATGCGCCCCCTGTGGTCCCCTGTATGTATGTGCATGTACGTTGAACTTCGTTCGCACCGTACACAGCCAACCGTGCTAATCGGAGGTGCTACCTTGCCGTGCTTACAGCCGCGCGGCGCTCTGCTCGTTGTTGTGAGCGTCGCTCCTACGACCTCCCGCTATCGCCATTGAGCAGTGGCAGGGAAGCGAATATTTGAACCCAAGAAGACCCCACTATTACCCCCGCCCCCACCCCCCTCCACCACAAATATGTTTGCCCTAATGTACCACCCACCACCCCCTCAAAGCCATTAAAAAAGCAATAAGCTTCCAACTTTTAAGTTATTGGTTTTTTTTCAATGTTCCCATTAGACGGAGCACGTGGATTAGGGTAACAACGCAAACCAACATCATCATCGTGATATCACCAGCATCGTTTAATCATGAGCAGAATTAGAGGGCTTGGGCAGGACTCATCGCGGCCAGAGTGGATGACGGCTGATGGATGATTGTGGCGAGCGGCGGGACGCTCAGCCACAGGAGTGAGGACCGCCGTGGAGGGTGGAGTGGCGTGATGGATTGTCGCGCCGTGACACCGTCAGGAAAGACGATGACCATCGTGGTGGTAAGCCTTCATCCCGCAGTGGATAGACCGTGGACGATAATGATGTTTTTTTTAAGCAGTAAATTTGGCTGGGTGCCATTGAGGTCACAGTAGTTCCAGAAGGGTTTTTTCAACTCAGCCCATCAGCCCTTCGAACGAGGGGGGGAGGGGGGTCGATAAAAGAAACGAGAACCACTTTGTAGAAGCTCAACAGTTACCTTTCCTGTGGGTGGATGCACCCCGCCTCGCTCCGCCACCACCGCGGGAGCATGGAATTCCCAGCAGCTGACATTCGCGACGATTTGCCTGCGGGAGTGGGCGGATCCTCGTGTCGGAGTCCATAAACGTAACATCAACAGCGGACAAGTTCAATCCGCTGCTGGATGGAGACCTCTCCCGCCTCCTCCCCCCACCACACCACGGATCCCACAATGTGCGACGAAGCTCCGACCTCCTTTCAAGGGGGGGTGGGGGGAGGGGGTCGCTCCATCTCTCGCGGAGCGGCGCCGTCCGTTTGCGTCGGGGTTAATTTGACGCCTCGGGGTTCAATTGGCCCGATTCCCCCCGGTCTCCTTCGGGATAACAGCAGCAGCAGCAACAACAACAACAACAACAACAACAAAATAATAAAAATAAATAACGGACTCGTCCGTCTTGATTGGCTCCTCCTCACTTTGGTTATACAGATTTAGAATTGCTCATTGATTTGCCCTATCGATTCTTTGATTGGTTAATTGGAATCGCACCCTTCGCGGGATTGCGCCGAAATGAGAGGGGAACCTTGCGCAGCAAGTGAGTTGTTGTTGTTGTTGTTGATGTTGTTGTTGTTGATGTTGTTGTTGTTGATGTTGTTGTTGTTGTTGATGTTGTTGTTGATGTTGTTGTTGTTGATGTTGTTGTTGATGTTGTTGTTGATGTTGTTGTTGTTGATGTTGATGTTGTTGTTGATGTTGTTGTTGTTGATGACCCGCTCTGTGTGGACCGGGGAGGAGAAAGGAGAACCCCCTCGTGTGGAGGGTGGTGGTGGGGGGGGAGGGGGGGGGGGGGGAGGGGGGAGGGGGTCCCCGTGCTGTCTTCCCACGTGGTGATGCAAAACATTAAAAAGGCCTCTTGCCAAACATCCCGTCGCCGCAGGACCCTCTTGAATAAATACACGAAGATGACATTGTCGTCATCAACGCCGTGGTCGTCATTTAGCTATTATGATGATAACACGTGAATCAGACGTAAGGAAATCGGTACCCGATGTTTAATGATGTATACAGAAAGACTCCTGCTCAGGAGGATTCCTGCGCCGCAATGTTTGGCCGCTTCGTTCGTGAGTGATTTGCTTCGTGTAGGGGAAACTGAACTGCTTGGGGGAAACTCACGCTGCAGACTTTGGTTTCACAAATCTCTACGTGATCCGCCAACCCTTGCCTCCAACCCCAGTGGGTCGCGCGCGCACGTCAGCATGCAAATCGATTCGCGCTCGGGCACATTCTTAATTCACTTTCTCCTTCCTCTCCCCGTCATTATCTCCCCACCCGCCACCATTGACAAATATCCCCCGTATAACCTTAACAGACTGTTGGGGCAAGCGCTGTTAGCGAGTAGCATCTATGAAGACCGGAACGGTGCACGAGGGGGTAGGTGGCCGGCACCACGCCCGGACGCCTTTGTCTCCCCAGCGGCGATGTTAACACACACTGCACCAAGTACTCATTTGAGGCCGAGTCGACCTAGGGGGGGGGGCTCAGGACCGGTTCAGATAATCGTCACTGGGTGTTGGCCGTGAGTGGGAATCGAACCCGGGTTGCCGGGTTCGTAGCGCAGCGTAGCGCTGACCGCTACACAACCGCTCCCCCTACACACACCACACAATGAGAAACAATCAACACCCCGAACACTCAACCCTCCGCGTCTCTTGATTGATTGAGTGATGTTGCCAGCTGACTCATTAGCGGCTGTGATTAGTGAAGCGAGCGCTGGGACAATGCAAAATATGCCCTCCCTCCCTTCCCCCTCCATTCCCATTGAGTGGTTGGCCTCCACGGAGGTCCCAGTATTTGTCAGAAATCGGGGTCAGGGTAAGTGATGTAGCAAATGGCTCGGGCTGTACAAAGGGTCAGTGCCAGGTCCATAGGCCTGCAGTGGAAATAACCCCAAAAATTTAAATTATAGTCGAGGTCATGCTGGCTCTAGCATCGTCTTTGTCAGCATCATCATTATCGTCATCGCGAACTTGCACGGCCTCAATTATCACCATCTGTGTTCACTACTGCCTCGATCATCATCATCATCATAATCATCACGTGGGGATTTTCAGTCAGTGTCAGCACGTGATTTGGCCATCTCAGTCGTCATCATCATCTTGAAACATCAATGTCATCATCATCATCAGCATCGTGATACATCAATATCATCATCATCATCAAATCGAGTAGCCTTAATGATCATCATAACAATTAGCACGGTTTGGCTACGTACGGTGCGAAAAAAGTTCAACATACATCATGAAAGAGGGGA